ATTAAGTCAATGTGCTCCACGTGGCCACACTTATCCCAGAAGAAATGTGTTTATTTATAACTAAGCTACACCATTAAACAAGTGCTAGACTTACTAACAAAATCAGGATGTTATTAATTGCTGTCCCTACAACTCAACTGACAGCCTAAAATCTGTCCAGACTTTTTTCACAGCAAAGGCTACTGCAGAGTAGTGAAAGAACAGGAAAGAGCTACTCCTCCTGTAAGAACCCATTTTCTCCTCATATATTCTTAGGAAGAGACGCCTCGCTTCAAACCCTCTGGTACATGTCATCTGCAGGGCAGGGCTCCTCCAGAAGGAGAAGGTGTAGTGGGCAACGGAGTTACAAACCACCTCCTAGGGAGACACAGGAGGGCTGAGGATTCCAGACATCTCCTGAGTTAATACTCATTCATTGCCTGGTTTATTAGTAGGTGGATTCAGCCTTTGCATCACTGACTCTCAGAATAGTCACACCTACCTAAGTAGTGATTGATTTTTTTCCCCTCCTGTTTGTATTTCATTTCTCTCCTCTGTTTTTTTTTAAGTGCATTTAATTTGTGTCCTTTCCATCTTCACTGCATTACTCGTACTCTTTTTAGAAAGAAACTCAATACAATGCATACTCAGGATGTGTTCTTTCATGGAAAATCAAGGACCAGAGCCAGCAGTATGTATCTGTGGGAACAGTGTTTGCTGGCAGCACAGCTAACCAGGACAACAGCACACAGCCACTGGGAATTACTTGCTCTTGACTTGTCCTTGGCCATGAACTTTGGAAGACAGTATCTAGAAATCCTCTGGCTGATCATGGGCCTTTGTTTATTCTAGTTTTCCTTCACAAAGGGGTCCTTCTGTCAGTGATATTTCTTGTGGATAAGGAAGCATGTAGGAGGAAAGAAAAGTTTTTTCTTTGTTTCAGATAGTGATGCACATTTGCCTCTTTGTAAGTTTGTTTCAATCTAATCCTATGTATAAATTCTCTTAAAAAGCTGAAAAATAGTTTTATTTGAGATTAAGGACAGGGAGAGATTCATACCACTAGCAGAGGGCAGAATAATTGTGCACTTATCAATGCATTCTTCAGGAAAAGGGCAGTCTTAGTAACATAAAAAAAAGTAAGAGTCAAGGGACATGGATTCTGCCCCTTGTTCTGGTACAGATCTCCTGCATGACCCAAAAAGTCACCCCACCTCATCTCTGAAATAGCATTACTACTGATCAGTGGTGTCTACCAAAAAGACTGCAAAAAATATTTTTTTCCCTTTTTTTGCAAATCATATTGTGAAATCTGGATGGAAATGCTACACAAGTGCAGTGTCATTACTCTAACATTACCTGCTATTTAGGGAAATTACTACTGTGCTTAAAGTTAGGAAAACAGAAACCTTGCCTTTGGTGGGTTCCGGAGACATGGTATTGCTCCTGCCTCATAACTCTTTTTTCCAGCATAGAAAAAGTAGGTATTTTGTTAAGCTTCTGTGCATTTTTTAAATTATTTTGGTAAGATATTTAGCTATTCATCATCTTTCACAGAATCACAGAATGTTAGGGGTTGGAAGGGACCTCTGGAGATCGAGTCCAACCTTCCTGCCAGAGCAGGACCCCAGACTCTAGGGCAGGTCACACAGGAACGCATCCAAGCTCCACAACCTCTCTGGGCAGCCTGTCCCAGTGCAGTAAAGAATTTCTCCCTCAGGTTGAGGTGGAACTTCCTGTGCTCTAGTTTGAATCCATTGCCCAATGTCCTATAGCAGAGCACCAGTGAAAAGAGGTTGCCCCTTCCTTCTTGACACCCAGCTCTCGTATATTTATACACATTAATTAGGTCCCCTCTCAGTCTTCTCTCCAGACTAAAAAGCCCCAGGTCTCTCAGCCTTTCCTCACAAGGCAGGTATTCCAGTCCCTTAATCATCCTCATAGCCCTCCGTTGGACTCTCTCAAGTAAAACTCTGTCCCTCCTGAACTGGAGAGCCCAGAACTGGATGCAATACTCTCGGTGAGGTCTCACTAGGGCAGGGTAGAGCGGGAGGAGAACCTCCCTTGATCTGCTGGACACACTCTTCCTAATGCACCCATTCAGCTTTGCAGTTTACAAAAGTGGCCAGCCTTAAATAAACGTTTTAAACTTTCAGAATGAGGGTACCATATTCTGATTAAATGGTTGTCATTATTATTATCATTAATATACCAGTTTTATCTGTTGGCAATGGGAGTAAGAGGACATCTGTGTGAGACAAGAGGATGGGGGAAAAAAACCCAACGTGAAATACAGCTAAGCAGTAGGAAGAAATTTAAATCAGAGTGAACAGATCTAAACCTAACATTGAGAATCCATTTCAGGCACCCAGTCTTTACGTATATCATCACAGAATCATGCCCAAATATGCCTTCAGGAACACATATGACATCTCATAATAGGGGTGGGAAAGGCTTTAGTGAATGCTGGCCTACAGCATCTTGCCACTACAGAAATTCAGGAGAACAACTCATTAAAAGAAAATTCTCACATTCTCCTTGCAGGTTTTGTTCTGGTTATTGGATTGGTGACTTTCTACCGGATCGGACCCTACACCAACCTCTCTTGGTCTTGCTATCTGAACATTGGAGCCTGTCTTTTGGCCACGCTGGCAGCTGCCATTCTCATATGGAACATCCTTCACAGGCGAGAGGACTGCATGGCACCCCGGGTCATCGTCATTAGCCGCACCCTGACAGCTCGGTTTCGCCGTGGCCTGGAAAATGACTACGTTGAGTCACCGTGCTGAGAGAGCAGACTTGAAAGGAGAAAGATCTCCAAGGAGATCTGCATTGGAGTTGTCTTCTATAAATATATGCTGTAATTTAAAACTAAGGGTTGAAAGACATCACAAAGCCCACTTCTGTGGGCAGAGGCCCTCAATTATTATTTGGATGGGCTCCATCTATATACATATGTATAAAACACATAATTTTATATATATTATATTGTATTGTCCTCTCCCTCTGCTGTACAGCACAGAATGTTGGATTGTCAGAACCCTGACAGAGCGTCACAGCTACATGTCAGCAGGATCAGCTGTAGCAGACAGAGTGTATGCAATGAGAATACAGAAGAGGCAATCAAACATGTTTTCTCTGCATAAAGTTATCCTGCTCCCTAATAATAATGTAAAAAGCCATAGGAGACCAGTGACAATAGCTTTGGAGTTAACAGGCTATCTAGGAAAGCAGAAAACTCACTATACAATAAGTGATGATTTTAACAGCTGTTAAAATACCATGAATCTTTAGTCCTTCCATTCACTTCTCTTCAAGGAACTTCTCATCAGCCACAACACCTGCTCCCCAGCCACAGCATAGCCCAGGCAGTAAAAAGCAAAAGCAACTCTAACCATTCCAATTGCAAAGTAACAGAATGTAGAAGAATTAAGTTGCATTTTTTCAGATGCTTCTTTTGTATCCTGAGACAAAGGCTTGGGTTTATCCTACACATAGACAGACAAGCTATTAAAGATTAGAAGGACACACCGCTAGAGCAAGCCATACATATTGCTCAAAAATCTGAGTGTTACAATGAGGGCAAATAGCTACAGAAGAAGGTTTTCTGGACTCCCTAATAATCACAGACACTATTAACATACATTATTGGAAAAGATTATTAAGACCAGATATTTCAGCTCAAGCTAATTTCTTCTTTTCCCACAGATTGCATTAACATTTGCTGTGATGTTTTCAGATTCGAGTGCTATGACAGGACACCCAGCTCTGCCCAGCAACATTCAGAGGCACGTAGCACTGTGAATATTGGCAAATAGAACCTCCATACAAGCACCCAAAGATGAAAATAAGACACATGTACAGGACTTTAGCATGAGATTTAAAAAAAGATCTGCCTAGTAACTTTATATGTAATGAAATTAAAATAATGAGTACCTTTGGAATTGGGTATAATGTTTATAAGCCTGACCCTGAGAAGCACATGGGCTCACGAGTCAGGTGCACTTCACTTTCAAGAAGAAAAACAACAGGTCAAAAACTATTATGCAGAAATGGTTAGGATACAGGAACTAGAGGAAACGTTGGAACTCAAAGGATGCTACTCTGAGCAGAGTTACTGATAGGCTTGAAGGATAAAGAGCTGTGAATGTTACAAATTCATTAAGACTCTTGCTCCCAGCCAAGTACGCTGCTTTTCTCCTTTACCATTATTTCCATCAGACTTTTCCACACTTTGTTAAAATGTGATCATCAAGCTGGCTCTTGAGTTCTGTTCTGCGCTCAGTTCTGATGCAATAAGAAACTCAACTGCAACTGCTGCTCTGCACCATGTCCACAGTGAGCAACACTCTGCAGAGACTGATGCTCTAGAACAACTGCATTGTTCTAGACTATCAGGGTAGAGTACAATAAAGCTGATAAAGAGTTTCTTCTAGCAGTAGGTTTGTAAAAACCAACTAAAACTTGTATTCATTTGCCTGCATTACTTTCTGGAAAATATTTTCTAGAAATAATATGCTATGATTAATTGCAGAGTTTTTTAAAAAATAAAATATTGGAATATTTAAAAGACATTATATTATTTCTTCTAATATTGCAATATCCATATTATAATAATGTACATTTAAATTTAAAAATCAGCTATGTGGTTGGTAAATTTGTAATACTCGGTATTACTGTGATTATTTTAGATGTATAAATAAAGTTGTGGATGTTCATTTTCTTCTAGTGATAATATGAGATTTTTGCCGTTGAGGCACAGAATAAGGTTGGTTGTTACCAATCTTTTTTTTCTGTTTAGTAAAAAAGAATCCAGAGAGCTTGCAATGTCTTGGAGAAAAAGAATAAGCAGAGAACACACTAAAATGTCCTTAAGATGAAGGCATTTGATCTTGTTTAAAATAAAAATTAAATCACAGGGGGAAAATATGAGAAGAATTTAGAAGGATCAGAGCTTCATGCAAACATTTAATGAAAATAAACTGTACCTGTAAAGAAATACATACAAATCCTTATGGTACCTTTTTATGAGCCTGATGGATTTGAAGGCCTCATCCATGTCTCCAGCAGTCAGGTAGAGGCTGAAGTTCAGTATGGCATCCCGCGTAGTCTTATCGCAGTCTCCTAATCCAGTGAAATCTCTCATGGATCTTCTCGTGACCGTCTGAGAGACTTCTGTTGAGCCAGACTCTGCTTCTTCTTTCTCGGCTTCTCCCAGCTGAGACGAGAACGTCAGTTAGGTGTCACAGAGGCTGAAAATTACTCCTTTTACATGTAATTAACTACATTATTCCCAGTACGGTTCAAGTTTTCTATTTCTGCAGGACCATGATCAATAGTGACAACCCTCACAATTTTTCAGAACTTCCTGGGAAATGACCCAAAATATGGAATGTCATAGAAGAGATGAGCATATAACAACATACTATCACAGTATGTCAGTGATAGTTCGGAGACTGGTAAAATACCACAGGAGCAGCAGTCTCCTACTATTATAGTCACACTTATTTTACATACATTATTATTATAACTGTGACTAACAGCAACTATTAAGTCCCCAGATTTCTAGAGGTTTCAGATAAACGTTTCTCTAAGGTTCGTCTCTTCTGAAAACCGAGCCTGCTAGTCTAAAAGTTAACTATATAGACCAAATTCTTTTATTCTTGCCTTCATGTAAAGCTTATGAATACTAAAGCTCACATTCAAACTCTTCCCCATACAAATGGCAATTCTGGTGCCTCTGGAGCTTCAGTGATACTTTCCCCAGTCACTCAAAGGCAGCTCAAAGCAATTTAACCATTATTCAGAAAAAGAATAAAGTCAATCTTCAATATCAAAATGATGGGTCTAGAGTGTAACAAGGAAACTTGCACAAGCCAAACACAGCAGAAGACCAGAGTCACGAAGGACACCAAATCTCAGATAAACTCTACCCCAATTGTATAATCAGACAACTAAATATTAAGATTTACAGAAGCCAATTAAAAACAGTATTTTATTATTACATGATGAAAGTATTAGATACAGTAAAAGACAGAAATCAGAAGTGCAAAAAGCATTTGACTACAACTTGTGGAATTTCTAAAACTGGGACAGAAAAGACATGAAACTTGGTCAAAACAGACTTGCTGCATCAACTTGATTTGCTATTTTTAAAGCAGACACTATTCATATACTAAATAATGTTTCCAAAATGCATTATTATATAACAAGTAATTTAGTCAGTAAAATACAGTAACCTGAGGGAAAATGGAAACAGAAGAGAGAATATCAGAGAATGAAGAGGAGCAAAATAATGCAGGTACTTACAGCTTTATAGACACATCCCCTCCGAAATAACAACTAATGGCAGCAATAATCCATACAGAGTTTAAAAAAAACAAAACAAAAAGAGACGTAATATCAAAGCAAAATAGCATGAGACATGATGAGGGAAGTGTTAAAGGTTGGAAAATGCAGCAGATCACCTCTGATCTTTCAAATGAAGGGAGAAAGGAAAGTAACACAGAGTGCAACTCTAGAAGCTAGATCAGCACAGGAAGACTGACAACACTCAGTTCTTTGGAAGGAGGCTAAATTGCCGAGTGCTGCTCTGAATCTAAATATATTCAGTAGAAAAACATCTAGATGCATTCTCCTTGTTTAACACTGCTCCTAAACTACATGAAATCTGTTTTCCGTGACCACATTGGTCTGTCTTACTCAGAAGATCTGGAGGCTTAAAAGTCTCATTAATATTAAGTTCCTGCATATATTACAAAAATAAACATCTTGGTAGAATAAAGAGACTTAGTTAAGTTCCTCTACAATAAGAGAGCTGTGCAAATCATCACCTTAACAGGTGCTAAGGAACTCAGGTCAGAGCTTAACCAGAAAACCTATCTGCAGGTAAAAGGTGTCATTTCTTCCAGTGTGCATGGAATTACGTACGGTAAAACAATGCATTCCTGGTATTTTTAGCACATAGGTATTTGGTGACAATTCTTGTGGGGCATGAGCTCCATTCCAGCAAGGAAATGGGTTGCTTCTGCTGAACCCAGTAGGAAATGTCCACTGTGTAAAGTTGACGACACACACATGCCCCTTACTTGTAGAAGGCATGGTGACTACATTTAGTAGAAAAATATTTTTCACATCCTTTTTTTAGTAGCATTTTCCAGTAATTACTCCATATCCCATGCTTGCACGTCACATCCAGTTAGCAATGCCCAGGAAAAGCCAATTCAGTACAACTTCCACAATCCTGCCAAGTACACCTGCATTAGAATTACCTTTGTGTCGTTTCTACGTGTGATGCAGCAACTGCCTTTGGAGTTACTCTACTTACCCAAGACTCATTTAGGCTAAACTTGAGCGCTAAGCAGTGCTTATATGGAAAGGGAAGGAACAGCAGATGATTTCCTCACCTTTTTTGCAAAGTAATAATGTGGCACCTCTATGCCCAGCAGAACCTGGTAGGGTGAAGGCAATGGAAAGCTGTCCTGAAGCAAAAGGCCATGCTCTTCAGTACTGAAGAATGATATAATCCAAACATCCACCTGGAAAAGGAAGTAAAGTATTGTTTTGGGTTTTATTCTGCAATATCCTTCTTTCACTTTGTTTTTATTTTCCATATTCACTTGGCAGCAGAGCCTTCTCGTGAAAATTCTATGACATATACATTTGCCCGTGCGCACCTGCCGCAGCGGGCAGCGCTGCACGCTTCCTCCCAACAGAAAGGAGCCAGCGACTCGTTCTACGTTACAGACTGTTCCTACTGCAAAGGGACCTTCAGCTCTGCCTTCCAGGAGCCAACGTCACTGAGCATAAAGAGGGAAGTCCCTGGCCACGCGCTGCTACTTTGGAAGTCTCTCGGACAGATTTAACTCAGGACAAAGAAATGCTCCCAACTTTTTTCAACAATTTATAAGTTAAAATACTACATTATTTGTATTATAATTCCAGCAACTCACTGACTGTTCTGAGTTCCAGTGAATACACCAGCCATTTCAGAATAGTTTCTGCAACAGCTTAAATGCTGACCTGACTCAAGTCAAAGTAAAGCATTTATTTCCAGCTAAAGTTAATCAGCCTTTTTATTTCTTCAAGGATAAGCACACAATTAAAAGTCCTGTTGAATAAGGGTCAAAAAGTGACACTTTTAATATCTTTTCGGTTTTCAACTTCATGTAGAAGCCAAATATTTTCACTTGTTTACATTAGGAATATTAGGTTGCAGTGTTCTTCTCTTTGCCAGAAGACCCTAGCAAGGTCTTTTGAGACATCCCTATTCAATTCCTCCTTTCTACTGCAATCTTCTCATGATTCTTCTAAAGTCCTTTCAACCAACAAAAGAAACAAAGAGCTTTCTATCTCTAATTGGAAGAGGATTAACAAAAATCATGGATGAATCAGAAAACTTTAAATCACCAGGGATATTTCAAGTCAATGAAATACTTCTGAAGGACAGTCAGTTCTGTATAGACAAAACAGTAGGGACTGCTACAAGCACAGTAGCAGGGGAAGTGGGGAAGAATTGTTGGCCTGATGAAAGAAATCTTTGATAATTTCTGATCAATAAAAATAAAATCTTTTTTTTTTCTAATGTAAAAAGAAAAAGACTGTAAAAGACAATGTGGGAAGTACCATAAAGATGAGCAATGTCTATTCAGCAAAGCAAAAGATAATAAGAACTAGATGAGAAGACTGTACTTCGCTGTTCACCTCTTACTCTATCGAATTAATCCTTGCTGTTAAAAGCAGACTCAAGATAGAAATTCTGCATTATGTTTTTTAAAATGAGAGTAAATAATCAAACCTCTAGATTGATCCATTAACGTCACCTGGAAAACTGTAGCCCAGACACAAGCTTGCATTATGATCATCCTTAAAATTCTAGCACAGATAAAGAAATCACCTAATTTTCTTCATCCCTGTATTCAAGCTAGGACTAAACCAGAAAACTAACGTACAGCGACCGCCTGAAGCCACAGGCACCAAACACATAGCTTCACCACTCATTTTTGTACAAGATCATGCATACTAGCTACTCCCACATCCTTAATGAAGGACCAATGTTTCATTACTTGGACCAGAAACAAACAAAAGGGCCATACTGTGCTCTCGGTCTGTTTTTTCTCCTGGCCTGGCAACTGTAGGCCTGTTTCAAGAATTGCTTCACATACAAAAAGTCTTGGTTCGCTCTGGTCCCAGAAATGGCAAGCAGGGATGTGGTTGTGCAACTCTGGGTACTCCACAACAGACCTGCCCAAAGAGAAGAAAAAAAGAATGTAGAAAAAGAGACAAAAGAATTCCAGCCCGTTCAGTGCATGAATTTTAAACAAAGAACTAACCAAGGGCTAATTTTCAGATGACGATCAGTTCTCTATACCAGTACTCTGCACTGTAATGTTAATGATATACATTTAACACTTTATACATGGCAACGCCACTCCTTGTTGGTTCTGCGTACATTAACCATGACTTCAGGACATAAAGAGTTTCAGCAGAAAAAAACTACAAGTAGGCATCCAAAATCAACCTCCACTGAGATTACACGTCCTACAGAAACACCTGAACATCCTTCAAAGGCTCCACCTTGGCGACTTCTGCAGGTGCAGGTACTGTAACACCAGGACTACCTCAGCTCTGTCTTGTGGGTTTTACAACCTGCCTCAGGGCTGAGGGGAAACTCCAGCACTGCAGCTGAGCCTGATGTTCAGCCAGGGACTGCGGTCTCCAGATATGCCCCGTTCCTTCCCTTTCCTTGGCACTTGAACATCATACCCTGTGCAAAGAATTCTGAGGCAATGTGAAACAGGACACTAAGAAACATCTTAAAGTGCCTCCCTCGGGCACTTAAATACTACTTCAGTGCCAGTCATGTTAAGATTCTGGACATACAGAATCAGACTATTTTAGCAACAGCTTAGGATTCATCTGAAAAAATACAGACTATGAATAGGTGTCAAATTTTTAAAAATAGAGAAATGAGAGATGTAATTTGAATTTTTTTTTCACTTGCTCTCACCACTGAAAGGTGGACTTGGTGGGGAGGATTGGAATAGGGCTGGAAGGGAAATTAAGGGAAAGATTCAAAGGGATGCAGAAGTACACGATGTCCTATCCATGTCACTGAATTAAAAACTGAAAAAATGTAAAATGTAATGTAAATGAAAAAATGTAATTAAAAACTGAATAAATGTATTTATGTAAAAGAATTAGAAATGTTTAGATTCTGCCTCAGGAGGACAGAGTGAGAGAGAGAGAAGCGGAAGAAGTGTAGATTATTATTTTCTGGTGAGTTTACTCATTCCAGTTCGAAGATAATCTACAATGAAGTACAGATAAACGGAATACTCACCAGTATCATCGAGCATTTAAACACCAGTGAAACAGCATTACCAGCTTGTGGTGGCCTCTGTTGGGCTACACCAGATACTACACGTGAAAACAACCTCATTACTCACTGTCTTCTTAACTGACCAAGATGTAAGGCCTCAAATTTGCTTTGTCCTTATTTTTTGATGATCTGGGTAGTTTCTTCCGGTTTTTGGTGCTAGGGAGAGTAAATCTTTCTTGCTTATAATATTTATAGCAGATAGTTGTTAACATGCAAACCATCTTCTACTCTTACACTGTTTTGTCTTAAGAAAAATACAGTCAGAAAAATTACTGTAATATCAGATGAAAATTTAACATTCTACCACACTTCTGTGAGAATTCTTAGTTCCCTGCATTTTGCCACCTTGCTACTAGAATTTCCAATGGATTCAACACCGAACAGCTCATATAAAAACAAAGCTGTCAGTTCTCAACAGATATTTCATGAATTTTTATCTATAAAAAAACCATTCTGTATTAGACTTGGAGACTAACTTTTTTCATAGGAGGAGGTTCAAGACGTCCTCTTTTCAGTTCCTAGCCTGTAAACTCTTAATGGAAGAATAGTTTTCCATGATTTTCTAAGACTTTTCTTTATTTTAAGATCTGGATCCTGATTCCAGTCAGGTAATATCTCTACACATATGGCCCTAACATCTAACCATCCTCCTCTCAGAAACCAGATATAGCTTCCACATATCTAATAACTCTCACTGCATTTTTCTTCTATGAATTTGTCCAATACCTCAACGAACCTCTCCTTCATCATCGGTAACTTCCTTTAGCAAGAAGAATCACCTCCTTGTTCTTATTTTGGGACTGTTTTCTGATACCTTTGTTTGACAGTCCCTAGTTCATATATTGGAAGACTGAGAGATGCAGGCGGAGTGACATTCAGTGCATCTGTTTAAATTATTTAGAAATAAAACAGTTAAATCCACACAAGTTCCCCCACAAAGACAGAGGAATGTCAGTATCAAGATGTTGCTTGTCTTCATAGGGCAGATTCCTATCTTAAATCCACAAATACTACTTCTGAAAATACAAGCTTCTTACTTGTCACTGCCTTGCCCAGAAGAAAGCTTCTCTCCACCATTACCCTGTTCTTCCTTGAAATCAAAGACTGTAACTTTATCCATTTCAACATCATAGAAACAGATCTTGGAATCAATGTTCCCATTCGCCTACAAGGGAAAACAAAAATTGCCGAGGCATGCAGTCAGAAAGAAAAAAAAGAAAAGGTATCTTTATCTCATTGATTCATGCTCTCAGTTTTGTTTATTGGTATTCACACACAAACTTTCTTTGGAAGAAATATCAGAAAATTTCTTGGCATTTTTCTCTTCTAGCAATTTAGCCTTTGATTTCTCCAAAATGCTACAAAGTAGCTTTCGTAACTAAAATACTTCCTCCTTCTCTGGGTTGTTATTCGCACGAAGCTTACAAAACCTTAACATACCCTAGTTTTAGCATTTAGTTACATGTTTGGACATTGCATTTCAAGACCCAATACACTGCACAGAACAAGTAGGTTTATTTCCAAGAAGTGAATCTCCTATCTTCAGTAAACTTGAACTGCACCAGCCTGTTAACGGATGGCCAGGTCCTAGGGCGGTAAGGGAAGAGCTTCGCCTCACCTTGCTAACAAGGATGCTGACTTTATTGCCGTTAGCGTTGCACTTGACGGATGCAATGCCTCCTAGGCCAGGAAAGAGCTCACAGAAATTCTTGCTATTGCAGTGCACCTTTGCCTCTCTGTGGAAAGGAACAAACTTCAATTACATGGTGGCAAGCCACTGGCAATTCGCATCAGCCAAAACATTGCTCAAATTATAGGTAAGTCTTTGAAAAACAAACTTTGAAACCACTGCCCCAGACTTCAGCTTCCTCTCCAGAGAATTGCTGCAACTGCCTTTCTTTCAGGAAGAAGTTAACGAGACACTTTTTCCTCAATGAATCAGCAAGAAAAAACTCCAATGCTCCTACAGGATTCCCAAAACAGAATTCTGAATTTAGAGGTCGGATTTTCCTATATAATTTGCACATTACCATGAATGTTGAATATAGATCATCATTCTTGGGTTACATGTTTAGAACTCTCATTTATTTTAAGCCAACTATGCTTGCTTTGAAATTAAAGAGTGCTACATTGCCATCCTTTAAAAAGGGCTATTTTCATTACCAGCCTCAAAAATTTAACACAGAGTGTAGGAGCTGTTAAACTACTTCTTCTCCACTATCAAACGCCATAATCCAATAGTTTGCTAGTTACAATCTGCCCAAATCCAACAGCCTTCAGACTGTGTCTCACAGGGAATTTGGCTGATCTCACACAGGGAACAAGCTTCCAAGTGGGTAACTAACTAGGCTTTAGCGTTCCTCTGGTGACAGTACATAAGGAAGAACAGAATTCATTTCACTCTTGAGGTTTTTCAGGTTTTCAAAATGACACTTGTCATTAGCAGATAAACTTTTGAACCACAGGTCAGATCAGGCATGTATCTTTTTTGTGTCACAGCTGTTTGTAAGCATGGGAACACGCACTAAAGTTTGAATGAAGTCAGGTAAGCTTCTCTCTTCACCTAAACAGGAGGAATAGAGTGTCCACAGTTTTAGGTTCATTTCCTCCATTGTTTCCGAATAAAGTTTGTTGATCTGTGAGGAGACACAAGACCTAGCACTTTTATATTTCAGCTCTCCTGAGATTAAGGTCTTGTTCAAGTTATCAGCAGAAACACGTGAAATCCTTGTCTTGATCTTCCACAGATTCTATGCTCATTTCCAAATGCATGCAGACATCCCTCACAGTATCCTCTTTTACAAATTATTATTGTTACTGTTACTCATCCCATGGCTTGTCTAATAATTCCGTGGCTCTTCCCTTGCTTTAGGGATGGGCCATCAGTTCACGCACGTTGTCTCAAGATTCGAAGCGGCTATCGCTTTTCGTCACATCATAAGCAACTCGAGATTCCTCCCTCCCCGCAAAACACATGCTTAATTCTAAACGAATGTTTTTAAAAGGCTTATTAATACCTGCGAGAGAGATCAAAGATTTTAAAGTGAGCCAGATCAGTTCCGACAGCCAGGAAATTTCCGCAGACATCCAAGAGACACGGATTCCCCTCTGCTTCAGAGAACACCAGCAGCTGCTTCACTGTGCCCTGCGAAGAGACACGTAACACCTGTGTGTTAGACTCTGTGTGTTCAGAGTCTAACAAGAAGGGACTTATTTTGTGACCAAGTTAACTGCTAACTGCTGAACTTCTACATTAGACAAATGACTACCAGCAAAACAAAAAAAATACATACACACACACACAGAATCTCTACAAATGCACTCTGTGTTTCAGGCTCAAAACTGGATGTATAGCCACCAGCAAAGTTATTTAGAGGTATCCCTCTGCAACAATTTCCTTTTCAATAGTACAACTTTTTCCAACTAAGAAGAATACAGAAATACAGGTCACTGAAGATCCTTTAATATACAGCAGCAGTAATAATAAATATATTAATTTCTTCAGTCCTTATCATGGTAAATCCCACCCATTCTTGAATATGATATTTCTGTATGCATATACATATTCAACCTGCATACAATTTTGATCCTTTTGAAGTCCATCCTTTACAGAATTTATTTTTCTTTTATAAATAAATACTAGTAACAGTGAAGTAGTGTTTAAAGCGGCAGACTTTATAAAGAACACGAAATGCTCCTGTTGAAATACTCTGAATATTTTTTCTATTACAAAGGTTGATAGATTTACAGAACATCCACTTAACTTTTAAGCTGTAACACCAGCCTTTGAAAACAGTAAGGCATATCCATCGCTTCACAGTTTCATCAGCCCTTACCTGCCAGGTGCGGACCTGGACCCGATAAGGCTCAACTGTGTACAGATTTTCTCCATGCATGGCCAGAACTGGAGAGTCACAAAGAAAAGAGCCTGGAACAACCACAAGAAAGCCATCATTACAATAAAAGGGTGGGGGGAAAAAAAATTAAATTTTGACTAGAAGCATTCAATTTCTATTATCCTACACCAAATCCAATTTTCAATCCATCAGTCTCTACTGATTCCCAAACTCCTTGGTGTCGCAGCCTTCTTCCACTCTGTCACTACAACCAAAAGCTGGGCCTCTGACAGAAAACAGCTGGTTTGTATTTATGGAACAGCTCTTCCTGACAGCCAGAACCCCACTCCTTCCCAGTTCCTACATAAGAGCAATGAATTACACTTTTTCCCAAGCAAAACAGAAAAGCCTTCAATAGCTACCATGACCCATCTGCAGGAGGCAACAGGAGCTATGGCTACAAAAGCAGGAAAAAAATTATATTATTGATCAACTGTTGGAATCATTTCCTTAAAGGAGAAAAAGAGGCAGCCTTACCCTCTTAACATGTCTTGTGCAAGGCCCTATATGATATCCTCGCTCTGAGGATACCTTGCAAGTCTAGGTGTGACAGTTAGGTCACACAGGGAAACAGCAACAAGATCCTTGGTTGTGTCAAGGGCAGTCACACCCCTGGATGCCCTAGGAACTCTATGAACAAAGCACATTTAGTTTTTGGTACTTCCAGGATTGGGCTGTAGCTGAACAGAGGTTAAGAGGGTATATGTTTTCATTTTATGCTTACAGATGCACAGCACCTTTGGGTTTACCTCTGTTATTCACTGTAATTCATATACAAGAGCACTCACACGTTATATCCCAGCGTACTCCATGAATAGAGCACAGATGCAGGAGCTGGCATTTGAGTTCTGATTGTGCTCAGGATTTTTATACCCTAATCTTTCTATTCTGCAAAATGGGAATATGAAGTCCAATAAGCGTTAACAAGAATTTTCACTTTGCACTTATGATTACAGTCCATCGGCTATCATGAACGAACAGAAGATGTAACTTTGGAGAAAGAGAAGCATTGCAACTCTGATCAGCATTCTGAGTCCTACCTGCACTTCTGAAGGCATCTCCTGAACATTCAAAGACAGCAACTTGTTTCCCATTCCAGAATACTACAGCATCCTAAGCCAAAAAAAAATGCAAAAGAACATATATGTTCAGTTTCTTCTGGAATCATACAGAAAATCATGCAGTCACACAGAAAGACTCAATAGCCACCACTCACTAGTTGCCCTGTCTATCAGGCTGGAAGGCTTTTGGTAACTGAAAAGTTCTCTGGACTGCAGCCAGAGGATCACTAAGTCACTGTGCTGTCTGAAAATCAGCTCCACCGCAGCGTCACTATAACAATACTTCCATTACACAACAAATTGACTACCAAACGATTATATTAAAGACTTCAAAAGTTTAGTCTCCATACACCTAAACTTGGCAATCAATCAAGCAAATAAATGAAAAGCCCAATTAACCTTAGTAACGAAGACTCCATTAACGTTCATATCAACATGAAGACTGTGTGTGGTTCCTGTGCTGAAGACAGTCACATTAAACAGGTTGGGAGACACCTGAACAACAGCCACTTGCTGATGAAAATGAGATGACATGGCCTGCTCACGGAGGATCACCACGGAGCTGATGTTGTTCACTGCCAGCAGGTTTTTTCGGGAGCCCCACTGCACATACCGGGAAGAGAAGGAAAAAAACCCCAAAACTAAAACAACAAACCACCACAATATGTAATTTCATCCAAGATCTTAAACAGTCACAGCAATATCCCAAGACAGAAGACAAGGGGTAGGATAGAATAAACTTTTTTTTTTTTTATATATACAAAGTACTACTATGTAAATACAACTATAGTCAATGACTAGGAATTATTACAGGTTATAACTATTAGGCTTCTACTCAGACTCCCATAGCCTAAGGGAGGAGCTCTTTTTTAAACTAAACCCATTCTTCTTTACGTTTACCACAGCAAGGAAGTATCACACATTTAAAGGGCTTTAATAACGCTGCGACGTGCAAAAGCAAGTTGCACACGTAGCTTCTTTTTTTGACTACCGCATTCTTTTCTGCAGTTTTGATAAGGCCTTTCAGTCAATGTAGTTCAAATTCCCTAGCAAAAAGCACTAAATCAGATGCATAAAGGGGTCCAAAAGTACATTTCTCCCCTTATAGACAGACTTATATCAACCTCCCTGCAACTCTAGGGATATGCCAAGTCTCTAAAGGTCTCTGCTTCCCTCAAAGTTATTTGAAGTTCAGATTAATTCCCTGACACGTCAGCATTCCTGTGGCTATACCTTTCCAGCAACACTGATTTAAGTAGTTGCATTCGGAAATAATTTCATTTTATTCAAGAGCCCGATTTAAGAAAAACAGTTCTTTGCACAGTTTGTTTTGGGTTTACCTTTTAATAGTGCTTCTTTACAGTTATCCATATACTATGCTGCACAACAGATGAGCGAGGGTGCCTTTGCCAACCATCTCTCTTTTGAAGCCACCGTATCACGTTGAAAAAAGATGAGGTTGGCAAGGAGTCAAATGAAGTTATTGCCACGCTTTGCCCTCACCATGGTATATAGCATTCCATAATGAGTTTTTCACAGTAATTTAGGAAAAGGCTTTTACAGGAATTACCTAAAATTTTGTTATGCAAAGTCTTTAAAATATTTTGCAAAATATTTTTTTAGATGCAAGGATTACAGTAGAAAATAATCCAAAGTTTCCATAATTAAAGGCAGCTTTATAACGTGAGATAAAAGTGCAGTGACTGTTGACAATCGGCTGGCAATGCTTTTGTTTACGCCAACAAACATTGGGAACAAGGTGCTATTTCTGGACAGCGCTCCGTATCCTGTTATCTGGAAAACGCCTGAATGATCAAGCTGACACAAACACCTATATCTCTTCCCCTCCCTCAGCTTATTTGCAGATGTATGACATACTAATGGCACACGCTGTTTCCTGTATCCTGCACCTTTTGTTACTGAAGCATCTTAACAAAAGATCTGGGTTCTCCCCTCTACTTAAATTTGGCAAGTACCTTTCTGACCCAGATGCTCGCTAGGGGCCAACGCAGAGCAAGCAAGTGCTGGTGCTGTTTAAAATCTTGCCGTTCTCATGTGAGAACAGAACAATAGAAATAAAAGAACAAAATTACTTTCTCTTGAAAAGCACCAGTATATTTGTCTGATTTTCATTCCTTCCAAAAAATAACGGGTACTCCTCTCGCAAATTAAGCACAGCAACAGAATCATTGAAGTTTTAACAGAAACTCTAAAAAAGTTGGAAAAAAATTACTAATAGGGTACAATGAGTAAACAAAAAAAATGCCAGGGAACCTAAAAGCACCAGCTTTGCCTTTTAGCAGAACAATGGTGGTCAAAAAAGCTGTTTGTTAGTGTGAAATTTTAAAAGTTTGACTTTACGATTGTAACACTCAGTATTTCTCTTTTGCATATATCAAAATGCTAACAAGTATAGAATGACAGCGCTTAACTGTGACAAACGAAAATATTTCAAATAAATAAAAACGTTGTACCCTGACACTTATGAGACAATGGGTTAAAAAATGTTATGATGCAATGTATTGTCATAACCTGCAGCATTAAAATACTGTAAATAGCAGTAGAAATGTTTACAAGCATCAGTTTTGCAAAGAGAAAATTTAGCATCCACATCTAGTCTGATGCTGTCACACATAAAAATATTGTCTAGCAAACAAGAAACATCTGACAAAAAAGCAGCTGAAAACATCGTTTCATGGGCAAAAATACAGTATTCCTTTCTAGATGGCACATCTCACCAAAGAATATTTGGTTGTAAATATATCTTTTTATTTTTGCAACTAGCAATAAGAGCAAACTTTACGCTGAGAAATTGACTAAGAAAAAAAAGATTTTCTACAAATAAAATCACACGAACAAATTTTATTGCTTGCTATTTTAATAAATCTATGTAAATTTGACATTTCTGACTATGTCTTTTCCAGAAAATAATCCAAAGGGCTTGTCAATGAGACATATAACGGAGGGATGTCTGGATTTAAGGATGTCATGACTGTGAATCCTCCCAGACGAAGATGAATTTGCCTTTCAGTGAGATATCTTGTTGAGCATTTCGACCCTGCCTGTAACAGAGTAACTACAAATAGGTAATATTTCTGTTCATTTCAATTTTAAAGTTACTTGATCCTGTTGGTTCTTCAGAAGAAGGAAGACCATCTCCTACTGGGGCACATATCTGTATGACATTAATCTGTTTCACAAAGATGATCAATTCACCTAAGGTTTGTCAAGTCTACCAACATGCAAGAAGACTCCTGTCTTACCTTTATCTGAATGACATTTCCCTCAAGCTCTGTAGGTGCCTGGAGCTTCCACTTCTCCTCACCCTCCAAAGGCCTGATGCTCTGATTGGATCCTGGTGCTCTTCTCCACATAGCTATTCTCCCTTTGTTAGTCCCAGCTGCCAAGAGACCTGCCATTCACAAACCTTTTAGGCATTTTGTAACTTAAATTTCAGAAAAACAGTCCCACAAAGTAGCAGGCAGCCTAGCTCTGGCTCTAACGTACTTCATCTAGCAGCAGCCATTTCTTCACCTTCCTGCAAACCAGCATCCTAGCCCTGAACTGGAGAAGCTTTCCTGAGAAACAATGGGAGAAGTTTCAGGTGCCAACCCATTACCTAGGCTACTAGATGAAGTAAGTTATCCTTAAAGTATTTCACACATCAATTTAATTTTCATATTTATTTTTTAATAGCTGGTTTTGTAGCCACCGTGGGCAAGTCACCACTGAAAACCACTCTAGCAGACAGTAGCTATGGATACTCAGGCAAACAAGGTGACACATAGAAGTAGCTGTGTTGAAAACATCAGTTTTAAGGACCTGATGCCCACGCTACACATTTGGTGAGTTCTACTTTGCTCTATAGTGGGCTTGTGGACTGAATGTCCACAGCGTGTTGGAGTACCTGAGGTGTACTCCAGGAGCATTTGTACCAGTTCAGCGTCATCACAGAGAATCCAGTGTGTGTGCTGGGAGACAGCTCCACACCAGAGTCTGGTATCAAATGATCTCTGTGTGCTGTTAAAAGCACAGCCCTCGCAGGAACTAAAACACTTCTACACCACACGCTGTTGTTGAAACCCTCAGTAAGACGACAAATATACTGAAATGACTACAAGGCACTGAAAGTTGAGGCTTGACAAGGTTTAGGATCCAACTGCCAGGCTATTTCTCACCTTTGGCACTGCAGTAAGAAACACAGTTAATACATTCTCCTCCCTCAAAGCCAAATTTCACATCTGGGGAGAGCACATAGTTCTCATCTCGGTCCAAATCCCAGAACCTAAGGCACAAAACCCAAGAGTGTTAACAATGCTTTTCCTTCCAGGTGTCTTGCTAAACACAGTCAATAGGATGCTATATGTAGCATTAGTTTGTTATTTCCACAATGCTCAAATCATTCAATTTTTAAAATTAAATTGCCAGCAGCTGTCTCTGGTATGTGAATTTCTTAACAATCTCCTTCCTTTTCCTTTGACTGCACGACTTTGACTTTTTACTCTGCGGCGTGTTTTGTGATACCCACCTATGAAGAAAGGAGTCAAAAGCAAACCCAGCTTTAACTTAAAAAGAAGTGAGCTCTAGTCGCAATTTTCCTCCTCCCTACTTATGTTTCCTCCTCTCTTAAGAATATTCCTTCGTTAATCAGTAGTCCTTTGGATTCCAGATTTATTTTCCAAAACTAAACATTGTCATCAAATATATTCTTGTTGATACTTGGTCTCTATCACATTCTCGCAAAATTAACAGATGATTTTAAATGACAGCAGCGGGTAGAGGCTCAAGCAAGTGAACTACTGATGTTAATGGAACATCCACAGTCCCCTAAAAGAGTTAGAGGAAACAGGTAGAGCCAGTCATAGTAAAGACTGAGGGGGAGATTTAATGCCTTTTTAAAAGACGTGCAAAAAGGTAAAAACTACAGAATGTGGTACCATGGCAAAGTAACTTACTTGGTTTAAAGAATTAGGGATACAAATGATCAGAATACTTGTCTTCCACTACAGTCACAGAGAAACATCCTGAAAAGCAAGCACGGCTGCTGCCGCTATGACCGTGCTGAGTCAGACAATAACAATGGAAAGAATAGCAAAGTGGCTTTTTCATGTAAAAATTCATGCCCCTGTACTCGGCACTCGTGAGACCTCACCTCGAGTACTGTGTCCAGTTTTGGTCACCACAGTATAAGAAGGACATCGAGGTGCTGGAGCGGGTGCAGAGAAGGGCAACAAGGCTTGTGAGAGGTCTGGAAAACATGCCCTATGAAGAGCGGCTGAGGGAACTGGGTTTGTTTAGTCTGGAGAAGAGGAGGCTGAGAGGAGACCTTATTGCCCTCTACAACTACCTAAAAGGAGGCTGTAGTGAGGCTGGTGCTGGTCTCTTCTCTCTAATTACTAATGACAGGACAAGGGGAAATGGCCTCAAGTTGCGTCAGGGTTGGTTTAGATTGGATATTCGGGGGAAGTTCTTTACTGAACGAGTGGTGAGGCACTGGAACAGGCTGCCCAGGGAGGTGGTGGAGTCACCAACCCTGGAGGTGTTTAAAAAAAAAGTAGATCTAGCACTTGAGGCTATGGTGTAGTGGTTAGGTATGCTGGGATGAAGGTTGGACTAGATGATCTTCAGAGGTCCCTTCCAACCCCGAACATTCTGTGATTCTGTGATTTCAGAATAAATCAGTAACAGCACTCAGAAAGGATCAGGTTTGGGTAGTACTGCCTGCCAAAACAAAATACAGATATACAGAAACAAAGGAAGATATACGGAATTCATTTTTGTCCTCAAGGAAACAGATTTTTTTAATTTTGTTTCTGTATTTATTTTGAGCAACAAAATCAGAAAACACTGGGCGTTTTTTCATTATCGGTTAAAAAAACCCCACCAAACAGTTCAGTAAAATATTCAGTGCATTGGAGACCAAAACCTTTTAGCTGACACTTCTCACGAGCAGTCAGAACACCTTTAAAACAGAGTTCTTACCTGATGACTGTCTCACCTAGTGCTGTAACAACAAGGCTATGGTCTATTAAAAAGATGTCTGGAGAATGACCTATCTTCCCGCTTAGCTTCACCTGTTAACCACAAGTAAATAAATAAATAAATTTACAAAAGGTAGTAGGAACATGCTGAAAAGCAGTAAGCATCTGAATTGCCTAGTTTGGCTAAAAAGTTAAAATATAAGAATAACTACACCTGTTTATCAGTTCAGGTAGACCAACAGTTGCTCTCAGACAGTGATACCACTAAATGCATTAAGTATATATATATATAAAAATTAAATTTTAAAATCCTGCAGTGGGTTAGTTAAGTAGGTAAGGAGCTTCTCTTAGAACTTGATAAAGATTGCTTTAAAATGTGAAATACCAAATCTTACTTCTAGTCAAAAATAAGTAATGATTAATATAAGGCGGACACTCTCGTAATACACAAGTGCCCAGTCTTTCTTCATCTTGGAAAAAAAGAAAAACAGTCTAAGGAATGTGGATGTTTGGGTTCCATTTCCCCACACAGTATTTTCCAACAGTACATTATTTTCTTTGACCCAAGATGACTATAAGTCCTGGATGGAGTCAGCTTGGTTTCTGTTCCTACACAATAATTTTTGGGTCACTAGGTTATTTATTTATGATACTGTTGTTGTTTTTTTTAAAAAGCCTCCTGGCCTTTGCAGCTGTTTCACAATGTGGGGACCAAACCATCTTTCAGATATGCAGGCCAAGACAAGATCCCAGAAGGAGGTACTGCTCCTACAGATCTGAAAGACAAGACAGCTCTGAGTGACTGATGATAAAGCCAAGGGCACAGATCATCAGCTGTTTACACACAAGGCTTTTTAACAAATATTCATTTATACTGAAATTTTTCATTCTTCTCTAATTCACTAAGACAAGGTAAATGAAATGTAAAAGGACTAATACAGGGTCAAAATGAAAGCAACTAAGAAAAAACAGGAAGGCAAGACAAAAACCATCTTTCCACATCTAGTAACACACCTCTTTTTCATTTTTAAATGAGTATATGTTTACTCATCAAGGTATTATCTGAGAAACAAAACGAAGCATTGATTCATTTGCAACCAAAAAAAAGTGATAATCAAAAAACCCTGACAAATTTTTCTTAAGATTAGACATTGGAACTTCACCCAGTAGTGTAGCTCTTACCTTCCTGAGTTCTTCTGCCTCTCCCTCAAGAGTAACTGCATGCAAAGACAACTGCAGGTTCTCTGTTATCACAACTAAAACATCTCTTTCCTCCATGAACAGAAGCTTTTGGATCTGACTGTCTGCAGACAATATATGCCTTGTCTTCCCTTTGTCATTCAGATAATGCACAGAACCTGTAGTACATACAAACAAGGTACAGTTTTTAGTTAACAGTTTTTGACTACAAAAATCAAAGTTGCTGCCTTCTACCATAATATTCTGCAAGTGCTGAAAAGGTAAAAATAACCACATTTCTTGTCTTACAGTTTGTCTCAGGATACCGACTATGACAGTTGACCAGAGCAATAAACCAAAACTGACTCAATTTTTCCCCATCTACAAAATCCAGAGAGAAATCACTTAAATGCCAATATTTAAATAATTTTAAACTACAAGTAATCTTTCTGCATATGCATGCATGAACGAAGACTTCTGAAAGTCTCTCTACTAATAATAATTTGTGAAAGAAGAATGACAGCTAAGAATTGTTACAATTTACAAGAGAGCCTAGATTATAGAAAATTGGATATGAAGTTCTGAATTGTTTGAAAACACTTCACCTGACACACTAAATGCAGCTTTTCTACATTAATTTCACAAGCAAATGAGACACTAAGAACACCAACAACACAGTGTGTGACTTGGCAACTACAGCACCTAACAAAATGATAATAGTTTTTAAAATGTTGATAACTGACAATACTGTATAAATCAGGCACAGGTCTATCCAGTGAAAAACGCTAAAATTAGTACAGCAGTTTGCACATGGTATTACAGAAATCACCCAAACAATGGAGTCATTGAAATGTGACAGATCTTACACTACATACACATACATTTCTCAACAAATCATGATACTATATAAACACGGCATTTCAAACTACTGCAAATCAAAAAACCTTATGAAATTAAATATTCTCCCCAAAAGCTGAAGCTAAAAACACAAATATATCAGAATGAAAACTAAGGATCCATGCTAAAATGTTGTACCCAAGAGGCAATATGATGTTTCTAATTAAAAAGAATGTTTTCAGTTCCAAAACTCTTGCAAATATATTACCATTCTCTACATTCACACTACGTAAAACATGTTCAAACTCCTGTCCCACTTCCTACCACACTGTTTAATTTTCTCTCTGAAATAGAAGAGGATTATTACTCATAACCTAAAACGTCTGCAATACAGACAAACAAGGCTGTATTCAGCAAAAATACCAGGACGACTCCCACTACCCGGGTTACGGCCAAGTACCTGCGCAAGTCATCTCAAACGCTTGGTGCTGAAGATGACTCTTTGTGCTCACGACTGCAAAACAAGCTCTGAAAACTGTTCAGGTATCTTCTCTTCAGACAAGCACCTCGGGTGACACATTACATAAATTGCATCTATTGTTTTATTACAATGAAGCATCAAAAAAATACCTGGACTAATAAATACTTGAAATTGGGAGTTTTCTTCATTTTGCTTTGCGCTTTTTTGAGGAGCTTAATTGTTTGTTTAGTTTTGCTTTAAAAGATGTGCTGGTGTCTTCAGTCAAGTCTCTTTGAGATACTTAAAAGCATGCAGTAAGAATGGGGGGGGTTAATTCATTTTTGTGAAACAAATTTGGGCTGAGAATCCGTGCTTCAGAGGAAATTTACAGTTCACATTTAAACCTTACAAAAACACTAACTGGTTCTGAAGTTACGGACAGACCACTGAGTAGATTAAGAACTGGGTCCGAAACACACATGCCCAAATCAACCTGGGCAGTGAGACTGCGCAAAAGGAACAGTGAGTGTCATCCGCCTGAAATTCGGAAGGTTTGGAGAGCAGGCGCAGGCCAGCGGTCTGCAGGAGGCAGAGTCTGTCCCTAGATGGAGCTGGGAGCCGCCGCAAGAGCTGCTCTGAAAGCGGCGGTGCAACAGGCACAGCTACTCACAGACTCTCTCTTCGTACATTTAAGTGCCTTGTACCCCTTTTTCATTTAAAACGGTTCATACCTAGTAAAGGGGTTTGGAACTCCCAAACCGCATGAAGGCACAGCCCACTGTTGTGAAAGCAAGCTCACAGCCACACCAGGCTGCTCCCACCACTCCGGGAAGCTACAGGCGTGTAAACGATGGGTCTCGATGATGTGGACACTAAATCAAACTGCAACGGAGCTGCAGAACTAGCGTAACTTGGATGCTTTTCAGAGTCGCTAACACTTGAAACGAGAGGATTACATACATCTCCTGCCACAAGCACACTCTTTACGATACCTGTCACACACATGCTGGCTCCACTCCAAGGAGTTACCAGGTTAAAGAGCTGGAAGGCATCATCCAGACAAACAGAGCAGGAAGAAATGAGCTCAGAGCAAACTAGTGCCCAGAAAAACGAAACCGAGAGGGAATCATAGACTCATAGAATCCTTTAGGTTGGCAGGGACCTTTAACGGTCATCTAGTCCAAAGGAACGATATTAGGAAGAAAACAACAAAACAGATAATTGAACTTTTTTGCTTCCTTAGACTGAAGCATTATTTCAAAGCACGAGAGAAAAAAGTTTAGAGGTAATTTATTTTAAAAGGTAGGTTCTAGCAGCATTTTCCTATTTCTAGAAAAAGACACAACACGTGCATTATTTTGAAGCTTTGCACATAATGCTGACAACTTCTAATTTTATTTACACTTGCGTGTTAGAGATATCTTTCCTCACACTGAATTCTTCAGGAACCTGACTAATCCAATGCCTGCTGTGTCCTTTTGGAGAGGACTCACCCTGAAGACGCTAGGATTTTAATAATTTTATTAATTTCTTCTCACCAAACACACTTCAGCTCCTATGAATACTCTATCCTGCTGGATACATGAATATGATGGACATGCAGCTATAGTCTAGATGCTGGAGATATGAAAACAGGATTATTGTGCACTGAGCTATTTTGAAGCACTAAGGAAACAAAATTCCAGCAGACTGGTAAAGTGGTTTTGCTCTTACCATCTGTCAAAGTGATAAAGAAGGAGAGTGCTTCCTGAAGTCCTATTTTGAGAGGTAGTGCCGTTCCAGCTTTTCTCCAGTTAAACATATCCAAGGCCTTCTCATCACCACTCACAGCTGCTTTTGCCAGCTGCACAAAGTCCCTGCAAACAGAGATACTTTATTTTCCATTCACAGAATCACATAGATTGGAAAGACCTTTAAGATCATTGAGTCCAATCATTAACCTAACACTGCTAAGTCCTCGCCTAAACCACATCTCTGAGCACCAGATCAACACACTGTTGAAATACTTCCAGGGATGGGGACTCCACCACTGCCCTGGGCAACCTCTTCCAATGCCTAATTTCATGGATAACTGTGTTTTCAGAATATTTTCTGCTTTTCACAATCAGCAACATTGCTAATTAAAAGAGCTAAAGGAAAAAGAGTCAACAGCAACAGAGAGAAGGTACGAAGAAAAGTAAGATCTGTTGCTGCATACAGGACATAAATAGCCAGGTACTAGAGTGAGAGAACAACCTGGGCATAAAGGACAGTTAGGAGAAGATGGTTTTTTATATATATCTAAAAAAACAGCTGTCTGCAAGCAGCATTTTCTTTCTGTGGAACAAGAGAAAGACCTGGTGACCCGTGCTCTGGTGGGGCACAATACTTACTCGCCAGGAGGGGGTGGTCGGAAGACACAGTGAGACAGACACTTTCCGTACTCCTGTTTCAGCAGGGCAGCGTGCTGCGCTCTGCCTCGCTGGTCCATTTTCCATAGAACCAAGACACCATGCTAGGAAAAGACAACAGTTAATTTTGCACACAGGTATGAATCCAGGCTCCAGCTACTCATGCACACAAAAATAAAATTTTATTGACAGAGTAACACCTTTCCTTTCATTTAGTTGACACGTACTATTACTCTTGTTTAAAACCAAGCCACAGGGAATAAAAACTATCTTAGCGTTGAATTATTTGCTTATTTAAAATCAAATTATCTAAAAAGTGTTGTTAGTCATATCCATTCTTAGTAACATGACACTTCTAGAGCAATTAAATGGAACAGCCTTGGTTTTCTCCCGCAAGTACCGTATGCATACGGTTGTTTAGGTAGCTCTCTTTCCGTTTTTTTCTTGCAAGTAGTCTGACTGCTAAAAGATACTGAGATGAAGGGTATTAAAGCTTAAGATGCGCATCCCTGAGTAAGTGCATATAACACCAATGTAGATGAGCATGGGTATGTGTTTAGACACATGTGAAGTCACTGGACGCAGATAACCTAAGGAAAGAATTTCAGGTTTTCTGGAGCTTTCTCCTTCTTTCACAGTAGCCTTTCAAGCACAAGAAGAATTCATTTTTAGAAGCAGAACTTAGTAACAAGAAGAATCAAAGATGCTAAAGATTAGTGAACTAACTCAACAGTAGTCAATGCACGTTGTCCCTCAGAGCCTGGCACAGGTTCTGAAGGTAACATGTGTTGTGAGTGCCAGCTCAGAATGAGCACCAAAGCCCCTGTGACCAGAAAGAATGGAGAAGGCAGAGAAAAAAAAAACGATAGCTCATCATGACATAGAGATTAACCATCCCAACAAACTGACTTATGCTACAGCCTCACAGCTGGAATTTTAAGGTAATTATTGCTGTTATTGTGCTAGTGCTTAGGGAACCAAATCACACTTGAAGGCGTTCTGTGGAAGCATTACATGAAAAAAACAAACACCAAAACACCAACAACTTGAAATATCAAGAGCAGTCTCATTTTATTTCATCTAGATAGATAACAATAAGGTGGTATTATAATTTGCTGTATTTTTCTTTATTGTTTCCAATAAAGTATAGTCTTTCTAGAAGTGAAAGACTAGAGGCAATGGCACAATCTAAACACTCTTCAAAATCCTAACTAGAAGCCACGGATGACGCAGCTAAGGCCTTCTAAAGTAATATTTCCTTCCTTTTTTCCCTAGAAGTAAGAACCAAGGTTCTACCTGCTTTTCAGCAGTAAGATTATAATATTTATACCACCCAAGCCTGGCAACACTGCATTCCACATCACACGGGCCTGGCATTTCAACCACTCACCTCATCACCAGACACAAGGCAGGTGCCATTTGTACTCCAGTTCAGGATGGTGATTTCGGCGTTATGGTTTGGTGGCACAGCGTGGTGCTCCTTGTCTTGTTTGTTAAGTATCACTACTTCTCCCGTCTCCCAGCCGGTTGCAAGAACTGGTCTGGAAGGGTGCCAGGAAAGTGAGGTGGCCTGAAAGCTTCTCTCAATGTGCACATCTGACACATGTTCTCCCTGCAAATGGAAATAAAGTGCGAGCTTAGTACAAGGATGTGGCTAAACCTTCAGATTCACTTCCTAGCCATTAAGATATTTGTCCGTGATGGAGGACTGGCATGTAGTAGAGCTGTCGGCAAGAGAAATGAAGTGGCTACACAAATTCTCTTTACAACTATTTCAGGTGCAGAAAAATGTGCTACAACATGCAGTACATCCACTTGAAAACGTGTAATGAAAACGCAGCAGTGTTAAGTGACTGGCTCACTCTGCTTTTCCAGGCTGTTCCTCCCTCGCAGCACACATAAGCAGCTCTGAGTATCAAGCTTTTCAGGGTGAGAAGGCTTTGAGCACATTTCAAAGTAAAAAAAAACCCACAACAAAAAAAACCCCAACTTTTGAAAAAGACTAAAGCACCTCAGTGAAGACATTAGGAAAAAGTTCTTTACTGTGAGGGTGGTGAAACACTGGCACAGGTTGCCCAGAGAAGCTGTGCATGCCTCATCCCTGGACGTGTTCAAGGCCAGGTTAGACAGGGCTCGGAGCAACCTCTATGGTTCTATAATTCTACGACACAGAATAACCTAATGCTTAAACAGCTTTTAAAGGTAGACTCTCCTTCATGTACGGCTTGCAAAACTACTTCAGGCAAATCATGTAATGTCTCCACGTATTTATTTTTCAATTTGTAGAATTTGCCTGACAATTTTTCATAATACACTTTCAAAAGTATACATTTACTAGGCTACTCTTACTAACAAACTCTAGATTTTTCCAGTATGTCTGCTCCTAGATAGCTTGCTATACCACTTCCCTAAAGAGCACGCTTTTTTTCCTGAAAATTATGCAAAGTCCTACACAAGCCTCTTGCATAAAGCTTACAGTATGCAAAGGCACTGTCTGTCTACAGGCAGAAATCATACTGGGAAACAACCTACTCAAATGGAACAAGCTGAGTCTAGCAAATCAGTTCAGCCTCAACGTGGAGGAATGATTTTTTTTAAATTTACATTTCTTAGTACAATTCATTAATTTAAGAGTTACAGAAAGAAAGCATTTTACTTATAAGCCTGAAACTCTCATACTATGAGCAGCAAAAAGCAAATCAGTAACCATCACAAACAAGACTGTAAAAAATAAATTTCAATGGAAAGATCAACTGAATTTATGAAGACCTTTTTATAAAATACATGTCATCAGTAGCTGATGAATCTGACATGTCCTAGATAACGTGGCACATGGATAGTAAATAAAATCCAGAGAGAGAGATGCAAGGAGCCCAAGTAAGGTTGCAGACAGATTAAAAGAACGTGAAGTTTCAAACCAGCAAAACGATATCAAGGCCAAAAGCGAAGCTGCTGATTACAGACCTGTTCCAGGTAGATATCCACACGGCCCCCCGACGTGGTGCTGGTGGAAGCAACTGCCAGGAGTGGGTGAAGCAGGTGCCATGTGAGATGAGAAGGGGAGGCAACTGAATCAGGAGCTTGTGTTCGATGATCCACGTACACAGCCATGGCGACTGAAGCTGTCACAGCTCACACACCTGTGCAGGGAGAACAAACCTTTCTAACATGTATGCTTAAGTATTTAGGATAGATACACACACTATATAGATATATAGATATATAGTGTCTATATAGACACTGTACAGATATAATATTATGTATAATATATACACTATATATCTAATAGCAAATATGCTTACAAAAATAGGGGAAAATAAAGCTACAGCATCATCTTGTTCATACACACGGACATGAAAAGGCCACAGCGGTATTTTTAAAAGACGCAGAGGACACTGAGCCTTGCAGTCTGTCGCTGCACAGTGCACACGTGCTAATACAAATCTCTCACCAGTGGCTTGTGCTGGCTAATTTCAGAGGACTCTGAAATAACTCAGAATTTACCAGAAAGCTACTTCCAGTACTTCATATCCAAAGATGTCAATTAATGTACAGAGAGAGCAACTTTATGTTGTGAAGTCTCATATGTAAGCTTTCCAAGTTTTAACAGTTGTCACGGCTTTGGAGCTTGTACTGTTGGAATTACACGAGATTAGTTTAACTCGCGCTGTCTGTTATCTACATTTGAATTAAAACACTCCGTAAGTGATGTTCCAAGGAAAAAAAAACACCTGAAAACAAAACTCTTTACAGAGTTGTTTGGCAAAAACGGACAAAGTCACTGACGATCTTTAAGATCTTATATACAGAGATGATCTTTGGGATTTGTATCATGTGATCGTATTGGCCTAGTTTCAGAAGAAAATCGGCTAGAGAAGAACACCTTGAGTTATCAGCAAATAAAGCCAAGACCTGGTGGGAAAAAAATAATTAAAAAATAATAAAAAATCCAAACTGTGAAGGACTCCTTTGACAATTCTGAGGAAGAGGCTTTCTTCTGCACCACAAGTTGAGAATCTGCAGGCACACATATGCACAGCCATTAGATTTACCTGAGTCACCAACTGGGACACCGATGCAGGATCTAAAATGGACATAAGCGAACTCTCGCTTTAAAGCCTCTTTCCTTCAAATATTCTGCCAGCGCTTAAAGTAATTATTTTGCTTTAAGAAGGCCATCTTCAAAAACAACAAAAAAAAATCTGATTCAGCACCTTTGATTAAACAGGCTGGAAAGGTATGTAGCATTTTAAAATAAGGAAGTAGTTCTGTATCTCTGCTATTACAAGGAACAACATGAACTACCAGACATGAACACAGAAACAAGTGCAGTTAGCCTAAGAACAAGTAATTTGACCTTTCAACAAGATCCATTCACCGTTATCTTCATACTCCAAAATACTTCACGTTCCCATAGCAGCATGTGGGCCTATTACCCCGACAAAAAAAACCAAGAAAGCCAACCCAAACCTTTTAAAAAGAAAATGAAGTAGTTCTCATCTTTATTTCATACTTTTAAATAGTTTTCTTAAATCTCCAGTTCTGTTCCAAAACACTGTACCCATTTCATCTGTTTTGTTTCGCTCTAAGAGAGGATGAATTTAGTCCATATTTGAATATAAGTTTTATACGGCTTTAAACATTGAACTGACAGAGACATTAACTTCAGATTCAAATAAAAATTTGAGATGCCTAAATGTAAAAACCCCGTTTGGTTTTTTATTTCATATAATGGTTTTATCACACAAAACTACACAGCTGTAATGCCTTTTCTAGAGCCACCTTTTTCTGCTGTTAAGTGTTCCCTGCATCTGTACTCATAAATATTACAAATTATTATTCAGTTATTCCAGTCCCCCTTCAAAGAGGGAAGAAAATAAGTTTGTCAGGCTTACAAACTGCATCTCTTGATCACCTCGCTAATGGGTACATTAAGCCATGTTGTCTGCTTTGCTACCAGTGACTGCCAGGTTGTTCCAGATAGGGTAGCTATGGTTATTTATCCCTTCTGGCATTAATAGACAGCAAGAACAATTTCTGATTTACTACTGTATATATTTAAAAAGTCAGACTAACACTTACTAAAATAAGATTCAGTTGTACTACCTTGTAAATTATGGACAATTCCTAATATAAAATACTTTTCACCATCTCAATAACTACACAAAATTGTGCAGAAGACTGCTATAAACATTTATATAAATTGCTTATATAAGTGGCTTACTCGACGGCGTAAAAATCACTAAACCAATACTCATTTGCTTGCTGTAATCTTGGGAATTCATTATTCACATGTTTACTGTTGCTTCAAGCTCATGCATCTATACTCTGTAGCTTTGACACATACTTCTTCAAAAAAGCCTTCAAAGAAAAAAAAGAAAACTGAGCAGCGCTACTTCTACAAATTATTCTGGCACTGCATGCTCTAGTTTTTCAAGGTCTAAAAGACGAGAATTTCTGAAAAAGTTAACCAATTTGATGCTTGGCATAGAACATGACCAAGCTCAGATATCTGATCTCAGTTATCAGATTTGGATACATCTTTTGAAACTACCCACAAACACTTCATAAACCAGTAAGAGTTCACAGAGCGGTTTGGGTTGGAAGGGACTTTTAAAGCTCATCTAGTACAAGTTCTCTGCACGGGCAGGGACACCTCCCACTAGACCAGGCTGATCTAAGCCCCGTCCAACCTGGCCTTGAAAATGTCCAATGATGGGGCATCCACAACTTCTCTGGGCAACCTGTCCCACCCCCCTCAATGGAAAACTTCTCTTCCTCACGCTCAAACTAAACCTACTCTCTTACAGTTTAAAACCATTACCCCTTGCCCCTGCCTGACCTTGCACTTGGCCTTGCCGAACCTCATGAGGTTCATCACAGGCAAACATCAGACATGACATTCATGTCTGCCCACAGAGAAAAGTTAACAGAGGTTCAAGGTCATTTTCTGACCTGTTCTTAACTGACTAGACACAAACCACCTCTAATCCAGGCATCATACACACATACTAACAAGATCTTGTGCTCTGGATATCAGGTCCTTTGAGGAAATTACACCTCACTTCAGGGTTTATCAGCTCACCACCAGCACAAGGACCAATGTAGATTGATAACTGGCCATCATTGCAGAGTTTGGGCAAACAGTTGTGCACCCATCACAAGAGACATGCATAAGATTTCACAAGGAGTCGGTAATTTTATAAGTAGGGTAAGATTATCCTTTGATATGGTGTGATTTCATCCAGACAAATCTCTCAATTCATTACTTACAAGTTGACAAGAGTATTAAATTAAATTACAAGCCAAATAGCTTTTATTTGTTCTGTTCAAATTGTCTGGGATTTCAGCACATAACCTCAAGATTCCTGTCGCTACAAATTACAACAGTGAGCCAGGATATACACATGTGCTTCAAAAGAAATCATCTACATTAAAGTAAAAAACAAAACTAAAAAATTATTATGCTATTCTGCCTTTGGTAACAACTCTTAAAAGGTTAATTTTATGCTCTGTATGACAACGCTGTCAGCGCAGTTGGCGTTTAAGGGAGGCTGATTACAATGAGGTTTGTTATTCTTGTGGAACTGCTACCGGCCACAGGCTTACCAGGACACCCATCACTACACGTACTCATAAAATGAGCAGTTTATGTGTGCATTGCCGTGACGTTTGCCTGACAAGACTTGAGACCTACCTATGCAAAAACTCAGGTAGGGATTATAAGAAAAAACTACAAGAAATGCTACCTTTTGAAATTTTTGAATATTTGAAGTAGCTAGCCCCAAAACCGAGTTCTGCTACAAAAAGTTGGCTAACTACTCCATACTGTTTCCTCTAACTAGTAAAACAGAAAGAGCAAATAGACAAAAATCGATTAAAACCCGCAGCCGCCCCGGCGGGTGGAGGGAGCCC